TTTTTTTGACTTACTACAATTAAGTGTGATGAGTGAGTCTGAGACTTTGATTTCAAAATAATTTTTAAAGTATTGAGTGGAGTATGCCTTTCAGTGTGAATTCATACAGAGCTTTCAGTGAAGGAGCCACCCTGAATTAGCCTCACCTGCTCCCTTCATGTTCATATGGCATGCAAGTGTGAACCTGTTTTCCTCTTGCTTATGCATTGCTCTCTAAATGTCATCCATTTGTTCATTTCATTTTTTTGGTACTTAGTATTCAAACAGGTTGTGATTGTGGAAAAGATTTCAAAGTGGCAGAGGCAATCGTGGTTACCTTCTAGACATTTGGTATGTATACTGGAGAGGATCATTCTGCTATTGACGTTTAGTTTTCAAGATATTACAAAGCCTTTATGGGCAGTATGGTAGCTCACGCCTGTAAGTTCAGGTACCCAGGAGATAGAGGTTGGATGATCACGATCTGAAACTTGCCTTGGCAAAAGCAGAATATCCTATCTGAAAAACAAATTAAAAAAAGAGGAAAAAGGCTCAAGTGATAGAAGATTTTCCTAGCAAGCAAGAGGCCCTGAGTTCAATCTCCATTACTGCTTCCCATTTCTTCCAAAAAGCTTTTCAGTTTCAGGAGTCATTAAATAAGAATATTATTGTAGTGTAAGATTCTAAAATTTTTTTTCTTAAGTTGTGATTTTCTGATCATTTGCTGAGAGTATGATGTGAAGAAACACTCAGGGGTGTATTGGGAAGAAAGGTGCATTGATAGTGACAAAATACCTGAGATGATCAGGTTAAAGGAGAAAGGTGTATTTTGGCTCATGCTTTCAGTCAATGGTCACATGGCCTATTGCTTTGGATTTGTAGCAACTTAGCATGCCATGTAGCAGACCTTTGCAGAGGACAACTACTCACCTCATGGCAGAGAGAGTGTGGGGGGACCAGGTCCTAATATCCCCTCAAAGGGCCAGCACCTCCATTTGGTTCCCTAACTTACTTCCACTAGGCCACAGGCTGTGGACCAAGCTTCAAAAATGGGTCAAATTATAACAAAGGGAATTAACAAAAACACTAAGAGCAAGTACACAAAAGTTGAAAGTGGGCACTGTTTATGGTTTCTTTTTTTAAAATTAAGACTATCTCTAAAGAAATGGCTTTAAACTATATGTCTCATTCATATAGTATAGTCTCTGAAAGAGACAAGTGACTTACCATTTGTTATAGGGCAGTATAAATTCCTTTGTTCTGGTATATTGTATAGTCTCAATGAGACTTTTGAATGTACTCATTTCTCTTTTGCTTAAGTAACTTAATATTTTCAATGATTTCTGGTACAAAGCCAATGAAATACAGGAAAACAGAGTTCATATCCATTTGTACAAAAACTTACTTTATTTCTTCCTCTCTTGGACTTTCCAATCATTTGTATACTCATCTAGTCTCAAGTTGTTGCATGTCTTTGACTCTTCTGTCTCCCAAATACATTCCCTCCAAAGAGTCAAAGCCCGTTGATTTTCACATGTGCAACATTTTCTTTGCTTCCTTCCTCTTGGCAGAACTCTCAATTATGCTCTTATATATATTGTCATAATGGTATTTTACTTGTTCTGTACCCCTCATTTTTCTACCAACCCCATACCTCCAAAACCAGATTAATTCTGTTTTCCAATTCTAGCTATAATTTTTTCTGACACTAAAATGTAGTGTTTTTGTTGTTTCAGAGGATAAGTACAAATTCTCCAAATTGACCTAAATCATCCTCCACAATTAAAAAAGAATCGTGACCAGTGCTTTCACCATTGTTGCCCTACAATATCCTTTATAGCATATTAATGAGGTATTAAATGTCTTTAAAAATGAACATTTCTTATAAATTTATAATAAATGCTCCTTTTTAAACAATGCCTAGTGCAAACATGATTATCTACTGATTCCTTTGAATGCTACATGTATTAACATCTCAGTTTCTTTTGTTCAAGATGTAGGCTTTGCCTACATTGTAAAAATGATTATAAAAGAAATGGAAAATATGCTATCTTCCTGTTTTGGTCTATCAGTATTTTACTAAGCCCTCAAAATTCCATCTCAAAGTTCCCACAATGGTGCCACTATGGACAATCTTCCTTGTTCTCACATCCAGATGCTTCCTGGCTACTTTTTGACATAAGTATAGTCATTTGTATATTTATCTAACACTCTCTGAAACTTCAGAGGAAACCCTTAGAAGACAGATTTTTTCTTACCTCTCTTTTAGTTCTTACAGTGACAATAATGTGTGAGTACTAGACTATGAGATCAATGAATTTCTAGGGTTAGTTTGTTTCCGTGTTACACCATTGCTGTCATGTGCAAAACCATAGAAGAAGTAAGTCTACTCACTCTGGCTGGAAAAGGGGTGATTGACATATTCTTCTCAATATTCCCTCTCTCTCATTACCTCTTACAACAGTATTACACACTTATGGCTCTGCTCAATCTTGTCTGAAAATTACAATATTCAGTTTCCATTTCAAAGTTAAGGAGAGGCCTTTTCTATCACCTCCTCCATAGTTTACTTGAAGCCTTAAATTCATGCTTGGAATAAACATTTTGTAAAAGAAAAGTATGTGAGATGGAAGTAGGCTGATGGTGAACTTACATTTTATACAATTTTACTGTCACTCAATGCAAAATTTCACTCCTGATAAATGCCATCATCTCTTTTGTAAATATCTAGAAATTGATGGGAAAGAAGCTAAGTTAGAAATATAATTGAATTAGATGTCTTCAACATAAATAACGTAGAAATAAAGAATATGCAGGTTCTCCCATACTCTCTTGCTTGTTGAAAGAAAAAGACTGATCTGAGTGAAGGCATCAATACTTTGCATGCATTCAAGATGTAAGAGAGGCGTGATAGTTTGGTTTGGGATAGGGCTTTCTAATGTGTTCTGAAAGGTGTGGGTAATCATAGTTAGAGACAGAAGTAAGATTAAGATCAAAGTAATCCTCCTTATGGAAAAAAGAGATTGGTTATTGTTGGAAAATGTTCTTATCAGTATGGGAAAATTTTAGCTTCATTATTTCCTGAAAAAGAGTTGGAAAATTGCTTTGAATCATGACCGCAGAAATGCCAAGTTCTGCTCACGCTGAGAACTATAACACCTCAATTGATTAAGGCAAAGGATATTCCTAAAACATACAAAAATTTCAGGAAAGACAGAAGAGGGAAGTGAAAGGAAAACAGTGGATGCTATTTGCTTTCAGATCTAATAATTGAGATTGGTATAGTTTTCCACAAAGTAGTATGCTATCTGCATCTTGTCATACACATTCTATCTTTCATTCATTTTCTTTCTTCTTATCTTTCCTACTCCCCTATGTCTCTCTCTAGCTTTTCCTTTATTCCAACCCTTCATATCATTATTTAGTATCTATCAGGATGTAGAATGGGATGTCTCGCATTGTGTACTGTTTAGAAATCTCAGCGGAAACTATCATCCTCCTTCAAAACTCCCCTGGGAATCCCACCACCTTCTAAGGAGACTGGGCCTTTAGATCAGCCCTCATTCTAGCTTTTTAAAGGGTGGTGAGTAAGCTGAGCCACCCTCATTCAATCAATTCTACCCAGACAAAATCAGCAGAACATTAGATATTTTTAGGTATTGGATGTAGGAGTTATCATTTAGTGGCCTAGTAGAGAATACTGTAAGGCTGCCTCTCTAGGATAATTGTTGATAGAGATAATTACTCATGGGATTCCAAAGAAGGGAAGAATGTTGTCTCATTAATCAGGTGACTGTCTGCTCTTGAACTCCATTTTCTGATCCTCTTTATGTTAATATGAACAGGTGAAGAGATTTGTGGAGATCCAAGAGAGGGTTCTGCAGTGATTTGGGTTTATTGCTACTCTATTGCTTAGAGTGGTTATGACGCATGAATTTCCTGTGAGTTAGCTGGAACATTGCTGACTTTGTGACAATTTTTTTAGTAGGGTGCATTTAGGGTAAGTGACCAGCAGCAGAGGCTATAAAGGATACTACAGAGGGCAGAGCTGTGGGGTAGATAGGAGAATCAAGCCAGGTCATTTATGCTGAAAAACACACTAGTATATCCCACAGGAGAGACACACTTGTCACTCAGAAGAAATTCAAGTCCAGTGCTTGTCAGCAATGAGAAATCTATCACAATACCTCATAAGACAGTTCTGTCAGAAATTGTTTTATTTTTCCTAATTGTATATCTTATCCTGACAGTTAAAGGAATGGAGATCCAAGAAAGAAGAGAAAGAAACACATTCAGTTACTGACCACATCAGCTTTCCTGTTATGTCCTTTAAGCCATAAAAGGAAGAGAGTAAAATATTAAATATTCTGAATATGAGAAGGGGTTGAAACTTGAGTGAAGAGGTCTTGTGAAACGCAGAGTGACTAAAATGCATGTAATGTGTCCAGGATGATGCTAAAGGAATGGGAACTTGTGAAGCATGGTTGGAAAAGCTATTGAAGAAAGCTAGGGTCATTTTATATGATGGTATCCTAACTCTTTTTAGACTTTGCCATTGCAGAGCACTAGCAGTGTCTATCTTACCACTGTGAAAGTTAGCTCACAGAACGTTGTGACTTTCATAAAGCATCCTGAGGATTCAGTGCTCTTGATGTGATTGTTATGAATGGTAATGAAACTTTTGGATTCCAATAAGGATCCATGTTAACTTACTGTGGTTCTAAAGTAAATTGTTAGTTGTCTTTTTGCAATCCTAGTTTCTCTTATTTGTCACATGTTTTGGTAGGAATTTCTCAATGGTTGTGATAGAGGTTTTTTTTGATTTTCCATTAAATGAAAAAAAAGAAACTTTGGCAAATTGCCTTTTTTGATTTTTACACTTGTAAAGAGTCAGTTTTTATTTGTTTATGAAGAGACCCATTACACCCAAGCACACATTAAAAAGTTGTAAAACTAAAAGAAGCTTGTCAAGAGGTACATCCATGCGAGCCATCTCAGACATAGAGGCGATGGATTTGGGATTAGCAGCTGCCTTCATGGACAACTTTGCACTTCAGGATCTTGAGATAATTGTCAACCTTATTTGTATCTCTGCGTAGGCAGTGGAACAGGTTATAAAATCCCACAAGGCGAGAGTTTTTGTCACCCTTCTGCAGTGATGAAAGTCCAGACCAGGCAGAGAAAATGTCTTCGTTTACAACTCCAGGGTTAACCTAGCCACCAAAAAGATAGTCACTTATTATTCATACTATTACTATTTGTTTATACCTGTTCCTTTTAATTGTTGAATTATGATTGAAGATGATATAGGAATGGAAAACATATGCCAAGGGCATGGATTTTTGTGTATCTGGATCAGAGTGTCATAAATCTAAAAGTATGACATATGTATAAGTTTTCTGGCATATGAGATATCACAGGTAAATTATGTTTTTATAGGAGTAGATAGATGGAAAAGCAGGAAGTTGCTGTTACAAAATACACTTGGCTTTGTCCAAGGGACAATGGAAGAGCTACTACCTGTTGTCTTACTTGTGTGACTTTTACATTTCCCAAATCTTGTCCCTAGCATGGCCTTTGTACTTTAGTCCTTCTGGTAGTTCACCATTTATCTTTTTGTTCCTTTGAACTGAATCCATTGTTCAGAGAATGTATGTTGTGAAATCTTAGAAACAATGAAGACTGCATCGAATGCATTAAATGCAGATAATCTGATGATGAGTATAGTGAAGATCTGCTGAAGTAGTCAAGGAGTCTTTCATTTCAATCAGTAAAATTATATTCCAAATCTCTATAAAGAATAATTTTTTTTTTTTTTTAGTTCTCTGGGCTGGAAGGTTGTGGGCAAAGGATGGTACTTCTAGAAACCCCTCAGTGGTGAGGACTGTGTGCTAAGGCATGACTAGGATTACATAAAGAACCTGCCAAAGAACTTGAGAGAGGCCCACAGTGTGTACCTGTTATCTCTATAGGACTTAGCCAGTCAGAAATCTTCAGAGATCTTAGAGAAAAGGAACTATCTTGGTACCTTTTAGGATGTCTGAGTTACAGAGTCTACTAGGTACCAGTCTGAGATAATTGTAGACCTTGATTTGTAGAACTTTCTCTTACAGAGTAAGCTCATTTTTTATATATCAGATTACCTATCAGAATTTAAAGTGTGTATGTGTGTTGTCTTGATTTAAGCTTTTTATATTTGATGAACTCTGTTGAGAAAATTGTTGAGAATATTTACTGTGCGAGGTATAAAGACATCAACATAATTAAATAAAGAAGTGGGAGGAAAAAAGGAACAGAAATATAAAGCATTATTGAACAAATTAGCTACATTAGGTAGTAGTCTTATAGTAATAAACAAAATATATTGAAAATCAAGGTGTTTATTTCATAGGATGCTGGGTTAATGTGCTCTTTGTATTTGTTCTGTTTTTGCTCAGATTTGTAGTCTTCTCCCATGAAAATGAGAAAAATGACACATGATACCAGGTACTTAGTACACAAAAAGAAGTATAAAATTGCTTGTGCTATTATTCTTATAGCCATATGTTTTCCTTTAGATGACACATTATTTCTGAAAATTTCAGAAAACTGGAATCTCACTAAAGTTGAAATTATCCTATCTGAATGGAGATACATACTGAAAATACTAATTTAATCTAAATATGGTGAATTATTTGGAATGATTATTTATAATAATAATGGTTTAGTTTGGATCCCCAAACAAAACAAAATTTAGGATGAAATATTTTTCTATATATTATGAAATAAGGAACATTCCAGAAAGACACACTCTTCCTTTTGTTACATCTAGTATTGTGAGACAACATTGAAGCTATGGCTTTCTCTTTTCAGTCTTTCCTTAGGGATGGGGCAGGGTGGGAGCTACAGTTTGGTGTGATTTTGATTTTCTCCTTTTTTTCTTCCTACTCTAATCCTCTGGTGAATTAAATGGAGACAGAATCGGAGCAGCCTTTCAATGTATGTATCCTGAGATACTTTGAAGAAAGCATTTACCTTGAGATTCTATTGTCTTGAAAATATTTAGCCCAACTCCACAGGAAAGAGGAAGCCTTTGGTGGATTTGTGGACAGTGTTTTAAAGGCTACACCTGTCAAATACAGAAAGCTGTTACTAAAATTGAAGTACATCAGGATCTAACACTATGGATGATTAAAGCTTGGCTTAGTCATCTACATCATAGGATTCCTAAATTTGTTCTAGAAAGTGAAGAATTTAAACCCATTTCCCTTCACAGAGGTTGCCTCTTTCATTGATGAGAAAATCAAAGAAGTATCAAAGATTGCTCACCTGTTTGATTATCTTCTCCATGCCCTTCAAAGTTGATGGGTGTTATACTCAATCTCTTGGACTCTTCTAATCATATCTGCTGGGAATTCTTTCATATCCCTCACTGTGGTGGTCAGGTGCTGCAGAGGGTCTTCCCAGGAGCGCAATAAGCCTCGGACCGTATTCAGAAGTGTTCCAGACTGATCAATCACACTGAACATCACATTAAAGGAAGTGAAAAACAGCCAGGTTGGTAATATGTAATTCTGTGGAGAAAGTGAACTAAAATATCTCTTTGTTATTCCTATGTATATATAAAAGTTTTCTCTAAATAGTACTATTTTTAGTTATGCAAAGTGTAAGTTGTAGTTAAAGTTACAAAACTGGTTTACTTAAAGAACTGACTATATTTGTGGAGGTATTTGTATATATATATATGTATATATATAAATATACGTATGATGTTTACTTTAAACTATGTTTAGACTGGTTAGGGCATTATTTCAGAAGGGATAGGTTAGAACAATAAAAAACTTGAGCTGGTTTGATATGTAGATTTTGTTGTCATCAGAACAGAGACTAGAGTTGCTGCTGAAAGAAACATAACATTTTGTAGGACCTGCTTGGTAAGGTGTGTTTCAATTAAGATGCAGCATGATACAGAAGAGTCAGGGAAGAATGAGAATGTAAGTGTTAGAGAAGCAGAAGTAGAATCAGAAGAGTCTTGAAAATCTAGACAAGAGGGCTCAAATCATTCAGTGATCAGTGATGTAATGTGCTCTCAATGGAGGAGCATTACATAACTGCACTTGCATTTGTTACATCTATCCTATGTGGATATTTAGTCATGCATGTCCAACTCACTCGAAACATTCCTACAGAAAGGTATATACAATCCTAGGTATAAGGCATTGGGTGAAATGTTGTCCTCTGCATGCACAATTTATAGATCTACTGCAAGCTTACTTAGTATTTGTTTTTATTTATAATTTATCAGCTACATAATGTAAATTTTCTTAGATTGCATTCTTTTCCTCCATTTTTCTCTGCACATGTGATTACTATACTTATTTTAGTGACTCTAATAATTTATAGTACAGCAACCACAGAATGCTGCCTGAGCTGTTTTGATGAAAAACCTGGGCTTAAGACTTACCTCGGTATTCAGGGCTTGGTCCTTGTCTGCTGGAGTAGGAATCGAAGACGTGTGGCAGCTGTTGATGGCCCTGGATATGAACTCCGGTTCAGTGCTATATGTTTTTTGCTAGAAATGATAGACAAAATTCAATTAGTTACAGCTTGGGAATTGAATAAGCTAATCCATTAGCAAAATATTCATACAGTTGATAGATGTGTAATTTTCTCAAAAAAAGCACTGCATAATATTGAACTCAAGGAATTAACGAACAAGTCCTTTTGCCTACTTTTTTTGCTATTAGTGTATAATTTCATTTTTTTCATCTAACTTTTCAAACCTTTGAACTTCTTCTCTTCTTTACTGTACTCATATTGTCACAACCTTCCTTTCATCTTTCCTACTGGTTGCTATTTGAAAAGCAAAAACAAAATACTGCCAAACTACAAACCATCAAGTGTTTTAAATACCAAACACCAAAGTACATAAATATCTATGTTTTTCCATTTAAACTTTCATTTCTTGTGTGTCTAACAGATATGCTTCTTTTAAGTAGACATTATAAAATTACAATTTTTCTTTCAATTACCTCTGAATACACATAGCTGTACCTCATCAGGTTTATCATAAATTCACAGTACACTATTACTTGTTCTGAAAAAATAAGTCAAAAGTAACAGAGCATAACATTTTGGAAAATATTAAGAAGTGAACAGATTAAAAATGGAAAAAAATAGTAAACTTCATGGTTTAAAAATAATATTTGGTGAAAGTTGTGAGAATTTAAATGGATTACTAGGAAGATGTTAAAGATAAAGGATGGTCAGTCAAAAATGAGGAATAAAAGAAAAACTAGTGAGTGAAAATAAATTTTTGAATGTATATTTATTGCAAATATTGAGTCACTTTCCTTGGAGGCCCAATGATATACTGAAGCCCTAATCTTTTGTGGGCCCCAAGACTGACCTAGAATACTAAATTACAGGTTTCAAAGAACCTTCATCAGGAAGAAAAACCCTGTTTCCAATTGTAAGCCAGCCTTTGTGCTATAATTATCATTTCTTGCAGTGGAAATCTTAAAACAATGATTCCTAGCATTTTGGGATTTCTGAAAAGCCATTTGTTTTTGGTTTGGTTTTTTTCCCCTTCTGACATGGCTTCAGTTCAGCCTAACTCTATTCCATCCACCCAATTCACTGCAATGCAATTCTCGTTTATTGAATATCTACAGTATGCCGAATACAGATTGCCCAGGTTGCTGGCTTCTAAGAAGAAAAAGTATCAATGCTCTTCTTCTTACCTAAAAAAGGCTTTACTCCTGGTGTTTAAATTAAAAAAAAATAGAAATAAGAGAAATTTCAGAAAATGTACAATAATCATTGCATTCTTTGAGACTCTATGAGATTTCATGAAACTTGGAGTTTTCTCCTTTTCTCACCTTTTATTATCTGATGCCTTCTTTTACTTAAAGGTATAGTATTTACAATTTGGTTCATGAGATTTACTTTATTAAATTGCATACAGTCCTATCCTTGGCATGAAGGCTTCTTTTGGGAAGAAGCAATGAGTGGGATACTTACAAAGTCCCTGAATGTGTCTTCAGCAACTTTATAGATGTTGTCAGACAGGGCGACTGCACGGGTGAACAGGTCTTGGAGGCTCAAGCGGCAGTTCGCAGCCCCACCTGCACAGGCAGGGCTGGCAGCCACATTCTTGCAGAGAAGGAGGTTTAACACCAGCAGCAGCAGGAGTGATCCTGTGTAAACAAAAACACAACCCACTTTGAGATGATCTATTCTGCCGAGGTTATCAGATGTAATTCTGCTGTGGGAAACTTTCTCCCTCAGCACTGTCCTTTTCTACAGGAATTGCTAGTATAGCTGGTGTGGGAGAAGAAGCAACACCTTCCACTGTGTCAATTTAGATATATATAATTATATTTGTACAGATATGTAGTTTGAAAAGTGGGTGACTTCCTGCATTTCTGTATTGCTTCCAGAAGGAATTGTATACTTTGTAAACATTTTGAGCCTAAATTAATCCTGAATCAGGGTATTTAAGTCATTCCCTGAGGACAATTTAAAGTTGGGTATCTCTGCAGATTTTTGGTGGTCAGAGTTTATAATTATTTAAGCCAATGTCCGATATTTGCATTTTAGTCACTAATGTGACGAAGACAGTGCAGATCATCGGTGTGTTTTATTTTCATGCCTGACAAGAATAAACTCATGATTGCTTGATTGATAGTATGGACTGTGAAAGAATCCTATCATAAAAATGATGTTGTAGGCTAGGCTTGCTAACTCCCCATAATAATCCCACACATTTGTCTGCTACTTTGCTAAAAGCTCAGATTTTTTTCTTTCTAAATTTGAGCTTTACAATACTCCTGTGAAATGACTGGGCCTTAATAATTATCACTAAACTACACTGATGAAATAGAAGGCTTAGGGAGGTTAAATGATTCCCCTCCCTTTATTAGCAGGTTGGGGAGGCAGAACACCAACACCCTGGTCTTTGTCTTAAGCTTGTCACATCATACACACCTGTGGGCCCTCACTTTGCATGTGTATCAGGGACCACATCATTATTCCTGAGACTCAGTGTTTGTAGAGGTTGTTACCATTACTTTTAAAGAACAACACTCTGCCTTGATTTTATGGTAACAGAGGCCCTAGGTAAGTTGATTTTATCCCATTTTCCTGCTCTATCAAACACGCACTTTAAAAATCTAGTCAACAATCAGTGGTGGTTTTATCATCACTTTGCTGCCTCAGCAGATGGACAGGTAACAATCTTTAACATATCAATAATTTCCACTGTCAAAGGGAGAGAAACAGTTCATATGTGACAAATAATATCACTCTTTAACATAGTGACATAATTCCAAGAACTTCTGATATAAAAATGTGTTTCTCAGTTCCATAGAACCCTTGAGAGATGCAATTGGAAAAGTCTAAGATAAAATAACGCAATGTTAAAGACCATATGCGAAATAAAAACCTAACTCCAAGTACCCAAAGTAAGTATAAATATACTTAAAAGTTGTTTGGTTTATAATGTAACTAAACAAATTATTAGGTACAATATTAAAATAATTTTGTGAGATAATTCACATTAGAGCTCTTTCAGTTTTCAAAACCCATTCTTCTAAAATTTGTTGAAAGTGTGTTATAGTTCTATAATGTAGTTGTACAATTGTATAATGTTTTGTCTACATGTATAAAAGAATTGTGCTTTGAAAATAGAGAATGCAGATTAGTACTCTAGGAAATTCTTAACTGAATATTCTTTAATGCCTAGAACATTTTTGTTTGTGTTTATTATCTGTGGGATTTTCATAGTCTAAGATGAAAAAACATAGATAAATATTTCTATTATTCATTTCATAAAACAAATTTTGTTGTTAATAGTAATTTATTTCCTTTTAAATGTCACTAAATGCTGGTGTAGTGCTCCATGTGGTGGGATGCCTGCCTTGCAAATATGAGGCCCTGAATTCAAACCCTAGTACTGCCAAGATAAACAAAAAGAAAAAAATGAAGACACAAAAGAAAATATCACCAAGAAAGTATAGGCTATCTATTAGCTGTTATGTGTTTTTCCTTGTGAAATGTCATTTGGCTTGAAGCAAATAGACAAAACAGTATGAGATACATATGTGTTATCATTGTCTGCATTATGACTCACAATTTTGTCATCAGGTTGATTCAAATGGTGTAATTCAAATAAGAGATCTGGGACCCAGAAAGTTTTAACTTTTTTCTTCTCATGTATGATACTTGGGATACATAAACTCTTGAGATCTTATTCTAGTATAGTTCTTGATCTCAGAATCATTGGTCTTTTGAGTTGGGTTATTCCATGTTCTGGGAGCTGTCCTTGAAGAATGCATTGGAGGATGTTTATCAGCCTCCCTGGTTTCTATTTATTGGACACCAGTATTATCTTCCCTTTTCCTGCCTTACCTCAATTAAGACAATGCAAAATGTCTCTGGGAGAAGGAGGATCCCCTATTCAAGAACGACTGATCTGTTCCATTGTGCCCTTGTACAATTGCTTTCTAGAATAATGATTAGAAGGTTCTTATAAATCCTGTGTGCCTTAAACTTCTTGTTATTACCTAAAATTTCCCATTAGTTTCCCTCAAACACCAGATTGTTCACAAAGCCATTGAGCAGTTGCACATACCTTTCCATGATGACTGCTTGCTGTCCATGGTGGTGGTCATGGCAGGGACACACTTCATCTGAGAAGACCTGGGAGTTGTACAATGTTCTCCTGTGAGATGTTGGCTTATAAACCTTTGACATGTTTATGAATATATTTAATCAGACATTCTCCTCCCCTTGCCAGTAACCCATATCCGTCATTAAGATTTCCCCCAAAATTTTAAACACCAAATGCTATTTTATTTCTTATTCATATTTAGGAAGACATACTAGCCAGAAATAAAGGATGTTGATTAATTATAGTGGAAGGAAATGAGAAATCTGATGAAGGTGAGCTCTTTAGAGTAGTTTGGCATAGAAGACTTATAAAACTATAGAACCAATTACCTTAAAATTTACCTTTAGTTCTCTGAAGTTTCTTGAACTTATAGCATTATATTTCACTTAACATTTTCTCATGTATGGTCAGTGGTAAAATTTCTCATTCAACTTTGTTAAGTGAACTGAGTTTTAAAAATTTATGTACTGTATACCAGAAGATAAAGAATAAATTCCTATTATGCTCTGATTGAATCTCCTTCTTCTTACTTGCTTTTACAAATTCTGTTTAGTCCATTTTAAAATTGACAGAGTATATGTATCATATTTAGTTTTATCAAATGTATTCTCTCCTTTGTTTACCTTTAATATTTCCTTTGTTTTAAACATATATCTATAGTGTATATAAATATATATACATATATATATACACATAAAGTTGTTAGTTTATCTCTTTTATGTATATGAAGTTGTATCATTATCCCAGTGCACAGTTTAAGAGACAAAGGTGCAGAGATACTAAAAATACAGTGTATGGAAGAAATAATTCGTCTACAGTAAAGTTAGATGCAAGGATATTGTTTCAAGATAAATTTGGATGGATGTGAGGAAGACTAGGAAATGAAACATTTATACTTATTGATGTTTACCCACATCTAATATAAGCAAGCTATCAACCCTGACCCTAGAGAATTTATTTTGAAGAAAAAATAGTAGTTTTCAGGGCAAATGCATACATTGAACATACATATATTTAAAAAGATCATAATACAGCATGTAATAAACTTCAATTTGAGGCAATTATTTCTACTCTTTCCCATTGGTTCATAAACTGTTACTAACTAACTTATGCCCCATCTACTTTCCTTGACCTTAGCTCACTCTGGGGCAAAATGACAAAAACAGTCATTTACCATTGGCTCAGAAGTTCTATTACATCTTAGACAATTCCTAAATGAAACGATTATATGATTAAGAATGAATCATTGATGACCTCCTCTAATTTTTAAGTTCATGCATCTATATCAGGCAAGAACTTTCTATTTTAGTGTCTTTGAGAGAAGACTGACAGATGAGGAAATTTAAAAAGTTATCCCTTTCCATGGCATTTGCTTTTTCTGAAACTGTTAGTGCCACCATGTGCTTTAACAATTATCTAAGTGCTGATATGGAGCACTTAACAAAGAATCTTAACAAAGAATAATGCATCTGAGGAACTATTTTTTCTCATTGTGTTAGCTTAAGCAATGTTATAATTGATAGGCTGTATCAATCTAAAAGTGGATTTGTGATTCATAAACTTATTCTGTGTATATATTTCTCCCTAGACAAGGAAAGTCTGAATTACTAAAAGCAGATCTGTATAGTAGAGATGTTCATGTTGTCCTAATTTACCCTTTCCCTGCAGAAACTTATGTGTAAGCAATATACTGTAATGATTGACAGTGATGGAGGCAGGGGCAAGATGGTGGATCAGAAGCATCGACCATTTTGACTCTCATTTTGAGAGAGTAAGCTTACACAAGAAAGACTATGTTCTGAAGACAGAAGGAGGAAAAAAGCATTGGGAATCACAAAAGGGATGTCAGAACATCAGAAAAGCACAAAGAAAACTAAGCAACAGAGAAAAGCAGCAAACAGTTTCAAGCCCATCCCTGGCTTCCTGGGAGTCAAAGGGCAAGCTGAAGACCCAATCACAAGGTAAGTCAAAGAGACATGATAACAAACTGGAAAGTCTTGCTGCAAGATAAGCCCACACCTCCTTAAATCCAATGAAGGGATTTGGAAGACAATGACTGTTCTGGTGTAAAAGGCTAGCCCTTGTGAAGGAAGACAGTTTGTCATTCCCCTCATCTCAGTCTGCCATAGTAAGATGACTTCTTGAGAAAGAGTTGATTTAGACTATTGGTTGGGATCAAGGTACTCTAGAGGCTTGAGAACAAGAAATAGTCATGGCTCAGAGAGTAGAGGGATACCCTGTCAGAGAATATTGGTGAACAAAGGCCATGAAAGATGGTCAAGGAGAGGGTAGAGAGTCTTACCTGGTCCTGCAGAGAAGCAAGTGGGATCCACTGCAGTGAAGGATATACTGGTTGCAGGCCACATGCTGCCTTATAAAGACCAAGTCCAGTCACCTCAGGGTCACATGAAAACAAATGACCAGCATGATATTCAGCCTCCAGGCCCTGTCTTCAGGCCATCTGTGTTGGTTGCTAAGTGGGGCAGAGGCTTTTTGGACACCCTTTACCAGAAAACATCCTTCTTACTTCATATTATAGTTAGGTCATTAGACATCCAGAATGAGGAAAGTATATTGAAGGGTGCAAGACAGAAGTACAAACTCACCTTGGAAGGCAAACCTATCAGAGACACAGCAGATTTCTCAAAAGAACTTGAAAGGCAAAGAAGACATGGAATAATATATTTCAAGCCCTGAAAGAAGGTAACTGCCAACTTAGGTTACTGTACCTATAAAAAGTATTCTACGTATTCAAAGGAGAAAGAAGAACCCTTCCTAATACTCTGTAATAAATAGAAACTAGGGCAATTCATGATCACTATACCTGCACTGCAAAAGATACTTAAAAGAATTGTATTTTTAAACAATAATTCTAGATGTTAATGCTCTCAGTTCTATGAAAGACACAGACTAGGAGACTCATTTTTCTCAGCAACCCATGGAACTTCCTCTGAAATCCATCATATCTTAGGACATATATCAAGTCTTAGCCAATATGAGAAAATTCACATAATTTCCTATATTTTATTTGACTCCTACACAAATAATAAACAGACTGATAAAGAAAATAATACCATTCAGAAAAGCTTCAAAAAATTAATATCTAATAATAAACCTAATGTATATTTGAAAGACCTCTATAATGAAAATTATAAAACCTTGAAGAAAATCGAAGAATACTCTAGAAGACAGAAAGAGTTCCTATGTTCATGGATAAGCAGAATTAATATTTTGAAAATGTCTGTACTATCAGAACCAAGCTCAATCTCTATGCAACTCCCTGAAAATTTCCAAGGTCATTTTTTTAGAAATAGAAAAAACAACTGTAAAATTCATAAAGAATCTCAAAAGACCCCAAACAGCCAATGCAATCCTAATCAATGCTGACTTAAAATTATACTATAGAGCCATAGTAACAAAAACTGCATGATACAGGCAAAGAAATAGACCAATAGACCAATGGAATAGAATAAAATATCCAGAAATAAGCCTGAAAAGCCACAGCCATCTGATTGTTGCCAATGGTGCCAAAAAACATAGCTGGAGAAAAGACTGCCACTTCAACACACGGTGCTGGGAAAACTGGAAATCCACATGTAGAAGACTGAACATAGAGCTCTCTTCTTTAACCTTGTATAAAATCAATCCAAAATATCTAAGTTTAAGGCCTGAAACTTTGAATCTATTATAGAAAAACATAGGGAAGCATTTGAAGTTACAGTCATAGGTAACTCCTTTTGAATAGGACACCAATGGCTCAGCAGATAAGAGCAGAATTGACAAATGAAATTATATCAAAATAAGAAATTTCTGCACAATAAAGGAAACAATGACCAGAATTAAGAGGCAATACACAGAATGGGAGAAAATCTTTCTCAGCTTTTCATCAGATAAAGAATTAATATCTGGAATATATAAGGAGCTCCAACAATTGAACACCAAAAAAATAACCAACACAGTTAGTAAATGGGCAAATCAATTGAAGAAATACTTCTCAAAGGAAGTACAAATGGCCAATAAATACATGAACATCTTTAGCTGTCATGCAAATGCAAATCAAAACAACATTGAGATTTCATATTACCCCAGTCAGAATGCCAATCATTAAGGAAACAAAGAAGAAATGTTGGTGAGTGTGTGAGGACAAATGAGCACTTCTGTGCTGTTAGTGGGCATGTAAATTAGTGCAGCCACTATGGAAATAAAAATAGAGTTCCTCCTAAATCTAAAAGATGGTCAGGCATCAGTGGCTCCTGACTGTAAACCTAGTTACTTGGGAGTCAGAGATCAGAAGGACCAAGGTTTGAGGCCAGCCAGGAAAAATAGTTCAGGAGGTCCTGACTTGAAAATAACCAACACACGAAAAATGGTTGAAGGGTGTATGCAAGCACTTAGTGCCTGCCTAACAAGGATGAGACCCAGAGTTCAAAACCCAGTACCACCAATAAAATAATCTAAAGCATGAACTATTATATCATCCTGCTATACCACTGTTGGGCTATATCTGAAGGATATTAGTCAGCATAAAATAGATACTTTCACATCCATATAGTAGGACTATTCACAATTGCCCATACCTGGAGTTACCTGGCGTGTCTGTTAACTAATGAATGGATAAAGAAAATGTGATATATATCTATCTATCTATCTATCTATCTATCTATCTATCTATCTATCTATCATCTATCTATCTATAAGGGACTATTATTTAACCATAAGGAGGAATGAAATTATGTCATATGCAGGAAAATATGCATGCTGGAAATTGTCATGTTAATTATATTATGTCAGAGTGCAAAAGATACATATTTCCTATTTGTCTTTTATATGTATAATTTAGACCTAAAGAAAAAAAAAACAATGACAAGTGTGTAAAAGGAAGGAAATTTTGGAGTTGGGAATGAGCAAACAGGGGAGGATGAAAGGAGAAGGTGAAAGAGGTAAACATGCTCAAAGTACTTCATTCTCATGTATGAAAATAGAGTACTG